GCTTCCAACCTTTGGCGACTATTGTCCCACCAGGCTTCAGCCTCACCCTCCAGCATGTGAGTACCAAACCTCACCTTTTGTTCATTGCTACATTCCATAGTCCTGAAGATCTTTTCAATTGCCTTCAGCCACTTCTGAGCAGCTTCGGGGTCCAAAATTCCCCCTTCGAACGTTGGCGGCTTGTTGCTCCGAAACTGCGCCAAACTCCTGAATTGGGCATCTGCAGTTTGATTCTGATTAGCAACCGCCTGCGCCATTGCTTGCATAGCAGCAGCCAATGCAGCATCGTTCCTTCCTGCCATACTGCTCAAAACAACAACACCAGGTTTAAAAGATATTCAACCCCATCCATAAGGACAGACCCAACTCGACTCAACAACACTGGCCGGACGGACCAACCAGGCTCTGATACCAATTGTAACACCCCACTTCCCAAAATCAATTAAATTAATAAACATTATAAATAAACAAAATCAGAGTTCCAATTCTCCCAAGTGGGATATCACATAAAAAACAATGTTTCCTTATAAAAAGGTTTTCTCCAAATACAACGGAATGTTAAATAATAAGATTCAATAAAAGTTTGATACGTTCACAGGGAAATAAAATATAAGTTCAACATAAAACAAATAAAGACGCCCAAGTCCCGTGCTACGTATCAGAGCATCCTAGACTCGACAATCACACCAATATCCAAGCTAGCTAAGCACCTGGATTATCTGTACTTCCGAAGAAGCACAGACCACAACAACAACAAAGGGGTGAGAAAACATGATCAAAAATATAATGGTAATATAATACATGTAAATAAGGTAGTACAACACACCAACACACCAAGATTCACCCCTAGCAACACCATATGACGAACCTACTGTTCAAATTACAATATAACATATTATAATGCAAAATGCAACTCAACACCATGCATGCGGTACCGACTCGTTGGTTCATTCAATCGAACCTGGATAGATCACTTACGCTCCTCCTGAGACATGATCTATCCCCCACCATTCTCCACAAAGGAGTACGGATGAATCACTTACGCTCCTCCTGAGACATGATTCATCCCACCAAAACACCATGATATGCACACACTAATGCATAACTGTCATGTGTAGGCACACTAAGTGCACACGATCCTCCTGATCACATCACAATATATCATACATATACACAACAAATAAACACCAGCACACTAGGTGCACACGATCCTCCTGATCACATCATTATATATCATATATATATATATATACAGATATAACATACACCATCATCATATAATTCAAACACACAGTGAGTAACCTCACTTTCTAACACCAAAAAGACACATCCCACTGTTTGGGGAATGCACGATCCTACTGATCACTACACACATATACATCAGCTAATTGCCCACCAGTCATTATTACGGGAACATGTATTATCACCCAGTACACAAGTTAATTCCCACACTCACCAACCTTACAGTGCATCAAGGCCAAAGGGATCACACAAGTCCAGAGCTCAAGGCCAAAATATCACAACACTCACATTCTGGTTCTGCTACGTTCGCTGACATTCGCCAGGCGAAGCCCCGTAGCGAACCTTCGCTAGCATTTGCCAGGCGAACCTGCTGGCAAAGCCCCCTTTCCACTATCGTGCATTCGCCAGGCGAAGAGATCATTCGCCAGTCGAACCTTCGCTGGCCGCACTCGCCAGGCGAAGTTCCTACCCTTTAGGTCTGGGATTTAATTCTGAATTATTCGCTGCCATTCGCCTCAGCTCGCCAGGCGAACACTCGCCCCCATTTGCCAGGCGAAATTTCGCCAACACTCGCCAGGCGAAGCCCAGCGAATGCTGCGATTCCCCAATTTCTCACAGTTCTGCAGATTGCTATCTAGGCCAAATAACTCTAATCTCCTATCCTAATTCACACCTTAACATCAGTACCAACAATATACGATATCATAACTTATTGGTTTCTAATTCCTATTCTCAAAATCATCACCTACACACTTTATCGATACCTCAAAAGCCATACAAAACTTTTCCTAAAACCGTAAAACACCCTATATGCCCTATATGCCAAATCAACTAAAAACAACAATTCATTAACGATTACTATACAATTAACAACAATGATCATTAATCATAACATATCAATATATATTATCATATATCGATCAATTTCCTACGGGGTTAAGGAATCCCCAACTACCCTATACATGTATAAACCATTCCCAATCAAGTTTCTCCCCCCTTACCTTGGTTAATCGGTTGATCGATGAAAGAACCCTCCAAGGTTTGGCCAATTCTGATTTTCCCCCGTTCCTTCGTTCTTCGCTCCCTTTTCCGTTCCCTTTTCCGTTCTTCTCCCTTCTCTCCTTTCTATCGTTCTTTTTTTCCACTTTCTCTAACTTCTCACAATGTATCGTAAAACTACTAACCCCTCACCTTCTCTATTTTAATTCTCTAATCCCAATAATAATAATAACTTAATAATAATAATAATAACTTAATAAAATAATAATAATAATAATATTATTATTATCTCACCAAAATAATAATAATATTAATAATAATAATATTATCATTATTTCACCAAAATAATAATAATATTAATAATATTAACAAATATAATAAATATAATAATAATAATAATAACACCCCACCAATGTTACTATTATTTTTATATTATTATATTTCACACCAAAATACCACCAATAGTCCTCCCACATTAGGGACACCCACCAAACATCACCAAATACACCCCCACCAAAGGGCACACCAACACATAATATTTAAAATAATAATAAAATGACTAAATAATTAAAATGGGTGTTACATGTCCCACAACCATGGGATGAAGAAATGGAATGGTTGTGCAGGGGTACGAAAGGTAAGGGATGACGAGCATCCATCCTGAAACTAGCTGTAACAGAAATTGTTTATGATGTGTGGAAATACCTTAACGACATTTGTTACGGTAATGTTATAGATAAGACAAAAATAGGTGATAATATTATAGATATGATTGTTTATAAGGGGTGACATAACCAGAAACTTAGGCCACACATTGCTCATTTGATGACTTATTAGTGTTCTTGGTACTTTTCCTTTGATCTCTGAGTCTGTTCTGAGGGCAGGATCCTCGCGATCCCCTTGTACTTGTACTGTTTTTTGAATTAATTCAATCTTCCTTTGATTAAAAAAAAAACAATTCAATTAACATATTTCTAAGAGAGAGTATTATTTTTATAGTTAAAGTTGTTTAAATTCTAAGTAAAAAAAATAAAAAATCTTAACAAAAAGCTTGCGGACAAAACTCGCCCCGCCCCGCATCGGTCCGCTTTTTCAAGCGAGTTAGGCGGGGCGGGCCAACTTAAAATACCGAGCCGAAAATCTCGGCCTAACCTGTAAAACATGGCATGTCAAATGGGCCGGCCAGACAGACCCAATCCGTTTTGCCACCCCTTAATATTATTATAATAATTAAAAATTAAAATGATATATAACATAAATTTTAAAATAATTATAAATAAAAAAATAAATCCACATCTAAATTAAAAAAAAAAACAAAACAAAAATATATCCAACCAGACAACCAACGTGTCAATTAAGCATTTTTTATGATAGAATTAGTTTTATAAATCTAAATAAAAAAAAAACAAAACAAAAATATATCAAACCAGACAACCAACGCATCAATTAAGCATTTTTTTTATAGTAAGATTAATTTTATAAATTTTATTTTTACAAAAAATAAACAGAATTAACTTATGTGATAGAGATAAAATTGTATTAACTTTTTAAATATTATTACAAGTATATTATTGAGTCCAATAACTCAAAAAGAGTGTACATTATAAATTTGTTTATTTGGTTCGAAATCACCCTTGTAAAGAAAAAAATCATTCAGTTAATGTGAAAAATAGACACGTGTAGAAAAACAATTGGTTGGGGTGCACAATTGCAAAAATGAAAACGACCGCTTTATAGTATTGTCTATGCCGTTTTTAATGAGATAAAGTTTCTCGCATTCTCATTCTCTCTCTTCAAAGGAAGAAGAAGATTCGCAGAACACAACACAGTGAGAAGCAAATCTGAAAACCCTTGATTTCAAAAAACACTGGTATGCTATTACAAAATCACTCCTTTTTCTTGTTTTCATTCACATAAAAATATTCCCAAATTCATCAATATCAAATTCATCAATTCAAATAAATAGTTAAATATGCCCCTTTTTCCAACTTCAATCTCTCACTCTCATCATCAATTCATACACAAATTCCAATCTCAATCTCCAATTTCACACCATCTTTCTTTTTGGTATGTTACATTTCTCTTCTCCATCTTCATTTTTTCTTCTTCTTTTAAGTTAGGGTTTAACTCTTCAATTTTTTTTAAATTTTTTTATTTTCATCTAATAAATTTACACTATTTTTTTTCTTCTATTTATTTACAATAGCTCATTCGATTTGTTTTCTATTTAGTTTTCTTCGTTGACATTTTTGTTTCAACAATTTGCAAATGTAAAATTTTACTTGCTTATAGATTTGGATGATATAAAATGCTTAATCAACATTTGTAGACTTGTTTTATTGTATTTTATCGTATAAAATTTTTTTTAGGGTTGTTTCATGTTGTTTTTTGGGAGCTACTTTTACTATAGCATTATTGTCTTAACTTGAACCCTAAGAAGACTTTTTACCCATTTTTGAATTTTTTTGTGATATTGGATGGATTTAAAATGTGCCAACTTTCGAGGGTTATATAGCCTCTGTAGTACTGACACCTGTAAATAAAGTCCGTGTTCGACACCAACACCGACATTTGTGATTACGATTAATTTATTCATTTTTTAAAATTATTATCGGTGTCAATATGTCAGTGTCAATGTCGTGTTTCTGGTGTCCTTGCTTCATAGGTTATAGCGGCTACCTAGTATTCCATATATGTTTTGTGATTAATGCGGGAACCTGTAGGTGTTTGCCTGTTTATGACAAATACCTGAGCCAATCATGTCGGAAGGTGCTGAAATTGATGAGCGTGTTGATCTCGATGAGGAACATTATATGGAAGAAATGGATGATGATGTTGAGGAACAGATAGATGACGATGGAGTGGATGTAGGTGAAGATGAAAATGCTGAAGGTAGTGGTGAAGATAATGAGTACGAGGAGTCAGCAGCAGAGGTTGGTGGAAAAGAACAATTTCCTGAAGGAGAAAAGAGTGATCGTGCCGCTGAAGAAGACGAGCGAAAATCACCTCTTATTGATGACGATGAGAGAGAGAAGTACGATAAACTTCTCGCCCTTCCTCCTCATGGTTCTGAAGTATTTATTGGTGGACTTCCTCGGGATACATGTGACGATGATTTAAGGGAATTGTGTGAGCCAATGGGTGATATTGTTGAGGTCAAGTGATAAAAGGCTCTTGTGATATTATGAAGATTTTAGTTTCAGCATAGGGGAAAAGTTAGGATTATTAACAAGAGTTTCATTTGTTGTTACTTTTCAGATTAAATTAATCAAAGACAGGGACACCGGAGACAGCAAGGGTTATGCTTTTGTGGCTTTTAAAACGAAGGAGGAGGCACAAAAGGCCATCGAGGATATACATAACAAGGAATTTAAGGTATTTGTGGCGCGCTCTGAAAAATATTATTCATTATAATTACTTTTGAGACAACTTTTACCCGTAATCTTATTTTGGCGATTACTTTTAATTGATTTAACATTTTTCATGATGTCAGAGCAAAACTTTGAGGTGTTCGCTGTCTGAAACCAAACACAGATTATTCATCGGTAATGTTCCAAAAACATGGACAGAGGATGAGTTTAGGAAAGCCGTTGAGAGTGTTGGTCCAGGGGTTGAAAGCATTGACCTCATAAAGGTTTGAGCTTGACCTCATTGTGCCACTAGCTTATATGTAATTGTTTAATTACTTATTATTGCCAAACCATTTTGTCTTTTATAGGATCCTCAAAATCAAAGCAAAAATCGTGGGTTTGCTTTTGTTTTGTATTACAACAATGCTTGTGCTGATTATTCACGACAAAAGATGTCAAATTCAAGTTTCAAGCTAGATGGAAATACACCAACTGTGACATGGGCTGATCCAAAGACCTCACCTGACAATTCTGCTGCTTCTTCACAGGTAATTTCCTGGATGAAAGTGGAATATAGATTTTAAAAGTGATTTCTAATTGCTGTTTTCCTACATTGCATCAAGTGTTTAATTGAGCATTTATAGGCGATAATTACTTCCCTTTTCCTGCTCTTTTTCTTCTTTTCCATGCCTACCTGTAAAACCGAAATTGATTGGTATTCACAAGTTTAATTATTTTTCTTCTTTTGACGTAGAAGTCATCAAATAAGAAAAATCTGTTTTCTGCATTAAATATTTATTATTATGACTTAGGTGTCGTGTGTCTGATTTTTATCTACATGTTGAAGTCGTCAATTTGAGTAAATCAGGCCTGATCATTTATTTCAAAAGAACGAAGGAATGAAATTGGTTGTCATCTATAATTTCTTTTGGGACTAGAAAAAGTTGAGCCAGTGATAAGGATGCTTATTCCCCATGTCAGGGCATATCACAAGTCTGAGTGAGGAGTTGTAGTGGCTATGCGGTACTTGCATATAATCATCAAAGTTATGGGTGTTAGATAAAAGATGGAGAAGAGGAAGAATAAATACTTTTTGAAGTATAACTATTGTGTAGTATGATTGGTTATAATTAAATACAAAAACTAAGCAGTGTCCCTTTTCGCACCAACACAATCCCAAATACTAAATAAATAGGGAATTAAGGAAATAAATCATGATAACAACTAAGAAATATCTTCCCAATGTTGTCAATCACGGAAAATGGCGGGTTTTTCAAATTTCCTTGGGCCATAATGCCGCTATAGCTATTATATGAGACTTTGTTGTCAATAGTACACTAGCAGAATAGCATAGCGGTGCTAGCTTCTGGTGCAACTCTCTTGGCATGCAAGCCGCCATCACCAGTAGCTGTTGTTGCAGTCGGTGCGACGCTCTGGGCCTGTGAGCCGCCATCACCAATAGTTGTTGCAACCGGTGCGACGCTCTTGGCCTGTGAGCTGCCATAACCAATAGCTGTTGATGCAGCCGCTAAGTATGGCGGAATTGCGGCCTCAAATTCTTTTTTTAAATGCGACGCTCTTTTACAATTTCTTCTTCCTACCTTTAGTTCAGTTCTGCTATGTTCTTTTTCCCTGCTTAAGTTTTATTGCTTTGCATTTCTGTCCGTTAACTACCAAGTATGACGGTCTCTTTAATTTTGTGATATTTTTCTATTTGAGAGTATTTATGTTTACTCTATACTGATTTTTTGTCTTTGTAATAGCCAGTTATCCTGATATCCGGCATAGCATTGTAGGGGTTCAGTGCTACACAGGCTATCTGAGATTAACAACATAGATTTGACAACACATTGTAATAAATAGAGTATCATGTAACAGTAGCGGGTTGTTCAGCTTCTACTAGCTATAGTGCTGATAGAGTGGCTAATTGACATCTTTAATGGAAAGAAACTTATCTTAAGATTAGAATTTAATCCTACGAGGTAAACTAAATTAATCTAACATTAAATAAAGATAATTTCATATATACTCTTTACAATAACCTGTCGATGTAGGTTCATCAGTAGGATATGTACCTATGGCCTCTTCTGTTGACTTAGTTTAATTGTAACAATTGTTGACAAACCTTGATTGACGGCTTTTCTTTTTAATGACTTGTTCTATAGTGGCTCAAACTTTGCATAAAGAATGTGAATAACCTGTAGTTGGTTCTTTCGTATTCCTTCAATCATGATCATACCCAACAGTTTTAGCTCACGTGGCTTGTTTGGACCACTTGGTCCTTGTATGAAGTTTTTCTGAGGCTGCTCTGTATGCAGTCTCTTCCTCGACCTTAGAACCTCCTTTGTAACCCCCTGTCACCTCCACCCGCCCTAAAATAAAAGGGAAAAGCCATTAATGGATGAAAACTTGAAGCAGGGTTTTTAATTTCTCATAAAATGATATTTGATTGCGTGAGATTTGCTATTGTGGTAAAGATATTGCAGAAAATCAATCCTTTTTTTTTCTGTAGACCCTCATTTAACGTTATTTTTATATTGCAACTGGTCTCTAATGTTTTCCTGCATTTTATTTTTTAGGAAAAATGTCTCCCTCCTGACTCTGGTTATTCACGAGCTTATTGCTCCTTTTATTCCTCCCAAATATTTTTTGTTTTCAAATCGGATTTCTCTCTCTTATTCTCTTGACAATATTTTTAAGAGCTGTGTTATTTAAACAAACGAAAACCGACACTGTATCCTGACACTATATGAAATACAGCCCGAATGTGTATTGACGTTGGAAAGTGTGTTTCTTGGTTGTCAATAGCACCCTATGGCGTAGCAGTACGGAACCTTGGCACCACACTTTTGGGCTGCTAACCGCTATTCACGATATTGGAAATAGCGGCCGCTATTTGTGATGTTGTGGCAGCGCTACAGCGGTTTTGTAGCGGTTTATCGACCGCCATTGTGAGGATGTGGGCAATAATTGTAAGTTTGAATTTTCTTTCAAGGCAAATTGGTATTTTTCCTTTTTATTTGACTAATATAGAAGCTCCTAGTGATGCCCTAGGTCATTTCCAATTCACTCTTCACTCAAATCAGCAAGTGGTGGATTTAATTTGCCTTAATTTGCCGTTCTCTCTCTTTTCGCAAATTTTCTTCTTCCACATTCTTCTAAACCTAAAAATCAGCAAGCGGTGGATCTTTTTCATCCATTCTTCCCATTCCTGTTCACCTATTTATCTTTTTCTTCACTTTCTCATCCATTCACATCTATTTCTCTCGTGTTGGCTGATTTCTCATCTATTTGGTTTTGGGAGAAGAGGGTTTGACTTAGGAAGTTGTTGGTAATGCTGCTGGGCTAATGAACCAACAGGAGTTACTAGACTGTCTAGACATAACTCTAGACTTGCTACATTAGTGTCTAATGGAGATGAGGAGTTGGAGGTGGAAGAAGAGTTTGAAATTGAATCAAGTGATGGGCAAGATGATATTAATGTGGTGGAACTTAGAAGTGAAGATGACACGGATGTGATTTAGTCATTTTGTTTAGTTAGTTTGTGTTTATAATTTGGCTTAGTCATTTTGAGCACATTAATGATTTGATTTTGATGGGAACTTATATTGTGGTGCTGTTGGAATTTATGTATGTTGTTGCAACTTCTGATTTTAAGGCATTATGAATGTTGTTGGAACTTATTTTAAGTATTTATGTATTCATGTTAAGTATTTACCTTGGTTTTTAAAGCTCACAATAGCGGTCATCCCGCTATCCTCTATGCCGCTATAGCAGTTTGGGGGTCCGGCGCTACGCGCAGCTATTCGATATTAACACCTAGGTGTGTTTACAAAACATTTCTGTAATTTTAATACTCAACCAATTAGAGTCATCAATCCGGAATGGCGGAGCGAAGCGGCAGACTCCAAAAATGGGATAGCGGATAGTGGTATGTCCGCTATTTAATTTTTTTAAACAAACTATATGAATAATAACTACAAAAATAAATCAAACAAATAACTCAATAATATAACAAAACCCATACCAGATTCATAAATCAAACTATCAAAATACAAGGCTTAATTAAAAACTCTTAATCAATTCAACATAAACAAATCTTTAATTTAACCAAAACATCACATATTGAAAACTCTTAATCAATTCACCATCAACAAATCTTAAATTTAATCAAAACATTACATCTCAAAATTCAAACTTAGAGTACTATTATGTCAAGAATTAAGATTCAAACTAGTCTTCTTCAAACAAAGCAACCTTGCATTAATTCAAAGAAACTGATGCTAACAAGAAAACAGAGGAATAGGTTGATTTAGATAAAAGATTTAGATGATTTATACAGGAAGAAGAAAAGAAGAATAGAGGAAGAAGAAAAGATGAATAGAGGAAGAAGAAGAAAAGAAGAATAGAGGAAGAGTACAGGAAGAAGAAGAAAAGAAGAAGAAAGGTACGAAGACCACAGCGACGGCTTGCTCTTCGAATTGAATCAAATGCGAGAGAAGAACTACACAGGTAAACACGATAGAGGAGTAGAAGTTTAGAGTCGAAAGCCATAAAGGGAGAGGAATTGGAATTTAGGGTAAATGACAAAAATTAAGGGTATTTTGGGGATTTCGCATTTAAAACATATAAAGCGGGTTGGACCGGGGAACCACTCCGCACTGAGACCCGCGATTGTTCAAAAAGTGGATGCAATTGAAAACTGCTCCGCTAAGTACAATTTCATAGTAGCCGGCCGCCGCGCCCATCCGCTTTCCCGGATAGCGTCGCTATCCACTGGGATTAATAACTGTGCCAGTGCCACCAATGATATTTCTGATTTCCACACTGCGACATGTTACTATTTCTCTTTCCTCTCTTCGCTTCCCTTTTGACTTAATTTTATGTGATATGGTTCCATGTGCTAATGTCAATTCAAAGCCTTCAGATTGTCAGTATTGAAAAGTAAAAAACTTCTAAGAGATTCAGATTGTCAGTATTAAAAAGTTAAAAACTTCTAAGAGACGTACCCTTTGGATTTGCTTTTTTTATTAGTTTGTTCATCCCAAGGTGTGAATGCTAAGTTGTCTTGGTCCAACTTGCTAGAATCTATATCCAACCTATGGTTGATCGGTTAGCTCTGTTTAGTTTGTTAGATTGATTTATCAGTTAGTCACCAGCTTCATTAGAAAGTTAACCACATGACATTGAGAGCTTCTCTATGTGAGTTTATTATTGTATTTTGTTCAAGCAACCTCTACCTATTCAATTGATTTCAGTTTCTTCTCACATCCCTTATATCACAATTTTATCTGCCTCTTGCAATGTTGGCCAACATTTTTCCTTGACATGCAAATGTACTGCAGTACTTGGAACCATCACAGTTGTCTTTAGTTTTTTGGTCTGTTGTATTGGTGAAATTACTTTTGCCACACGATGGTTTTGTTTGTTTAAAAAACAGATTAGTTTTGACACTTGTTGAAACATGAAAGCATCATACAATGTGAATATAATGAGGAGTTCATCATATTACATGTATTTAGGGGGTTTGTCTGTACGAGAAAATATCTAGCTAATGAAAGTTTTGCTTTTGAACTTTGTTTTTGGCATTTTTAGGTTAAAGCCCTATATGTGAAAAACATACCTGAGAATGTTACCACTGATCAACTAAAGGAGCTATTTCGGCGTCATGGGGAAGTAACGAAAGTGGTCATGCCACCTGGCAAAGCTGGAGGGAAACGAGATTTTGGTTTCATTCATTATGCAGAGAGGTCAAGTGCATTGAAAGCTGTAAAAGAGACAGAGAAATATGAAATTGATGGTACTTGTTTTATATACTAGTACAATATATTTATAAAGCAGTTTTACCCCTGCATATTTGACCTATCATTTTATGTTCCTATTTGCGTGAAATTGTTTAATATAAATAACAATATGGTGAAAACAACTTATCTATGCATGGTAGTCTTTTAAGTGTGTCACAGCATTTGCTAAATACATTTAATGAATTTGAACTGCAGGCCAAGCTCTTGAAGTTGTAATTGCCAAGCCTCAAGCTGAAAAAAAACCTGATGGAGGCTATGGATACAATCCTGGACTCCATCCTAACCATCTTCCACATCCTGGTTATGGTAATTTTTCTGGAAGTCTTTATGGTTCTGTGGGGGCTGGATACGGTGTTGCTGCTGGTTACCAACAGGTATTTAGCAGTTCACAAGATATATGCAATTGCGGTGTTTGATTCTCAGTTTATTCTTTGTTCTAATCTATTTGCATCTTGTGGGTTCTGATGCACGATCGAACAGCCAATGATATACGGTAGGGGTCCAATGCCAGCAGGAATGCAGATGGTTCCAATGGTTTTACCAGATGGCCGAATTGGCTATGTCCTGTAAGTTGCTGCAGCTCATGTACATGGTCTCATTTCATTATATTATTTGTTTGATATATTACTTAATCTTCGAATTCTATATGTTCCGCAGCCAACAGCCTGGTGTACAGGTTCCAGCTCCCCGACCCCGCAGAAATGACCGAGGAAATGGTCCAGGTGGTCAGCCCGGGCGTGGAGGAGGTAGTGGTAATGATGAAGGAAATCGTAACAGAAGGTATCGACCCTATTAGTGGTGGTATAAAGCAGCGAACACAACGGGGCTCATCATACCTGGTCGTGAGGAGGCCTTGGGGGAGAGTCTGATGCAGACGGAAAATCCTTTCTCAATCCTGTACCCATGAAAAGGGGAGAAAATGAAATATGAAGAAAAAGTTAATTAGGAATAGGACCAATGATATTCTATTAAGTCGATGTTGGTGTTATTGCTGTTAGATCAGTCATGGCTGAGTAAATTATTGCCCAACTTTTTCCGCTTGCAATGCTTGGCATTTTTTATCGACTACCAGTAGAAAATTGTGTTAATCTGGTTTCAGCAAACTTTGCCATGATTTTGTCACTCATTTGGCATATGAACTGCTCAATAGTTCTTGACTTTTTGTTGCACTCCTTAAATCATTTTGTGATCTTTAATAGGATCAGCAATGTTGCTGCTACTTCATTGCAGTCAAACTCAGAAACTCAAGTTATTCTTATTATCCAATAAATATTGTGTTAAAATATATAAATGTTTATGAAAAATATAAATCTAATATTAGATACTGCAATCAGAAATAATATACATCCTTCGTGACATTCCAGGAACCTATGAAACACGAACATCACAGTACTTGTGTCAGTTTTTGACACCATGATGTACGGACACCAGAAATATAACAATGATACTTCGACACAACAATGGTACATTGACATCGACATTCATAGTGATACAGATACATACACCTATGATATGATATGCATAAAATTGATGATGCCTCTAATATTAACAAATAGTGACAATAGAAAAAATGTAAAAGAAAATTAGTGAGAAATTTCCAGACAATGGTACTCTTCATGCATCGTTCACTATGATGCAAATATATTGAGTCAAACTGGATCGAAAGCAGTATCTTACATCAACATTTTATTTTCTTGTATTCATAAATAAAAGAAGAAAAACTATATAGTTCTGTTCCATGCAAAAAATACAAACAAGAGTGAAATGAAATCAAGTGGTATCTGAAAGGTCACGAAGACGATTTTCCAGTTCATCCAATTTAGGACCCCAATGGTCGTTTATGCAGAGTGGTCGAACACGGTAGTCCACAGAACTTTCTTCCATGGAACTGACAGAAGAGGATGAATCCCTTCCACGCTCCTTCTTTTTATTGTTCTTCATAATCTTACGAGAGGCGGTTGCTCTCTGCAATGCCCACAGTACATCTGACCCGTTAATCTCTTGCTTTTCCGGTTTTGAATTGGATAATTTGCTTATTAGGGTGCGATCCAGTTCACCAACTTGCTGCTCAGTGATTGGTTCTTGACGGTGGCGGCGGCTCTGTGGAAGAGAACTGGCGGAGACGGAGGGAACAACACGAGCCTTGAAACATGGTGTGGCGTGTGCTGAGATGACACCGTTGGAACACCAGCACCACATGTTTTTTCTTTTCTCTTGTTCTCTCTTTGAAATCCCTTTTATTGCTTTTTCTGTATATATTAATTAAATTTGTACAGTAATTTTTCGTGATTTTATTATTTCATTTATTTTTAGAAAATTAATATCTTATTCTTGTATCTTTACATTTTTTTTTCATATAAATAACTTTTTCTTTTGATATAAAAATTGGTGTTTTATTTTTTTTTCTTTGTCACATATTTTAAAATTTGATAATTCTTGTTACATTTGTATGTCAGATGTTCAACCAAGATTAAGATGAATTTTAAAATGAGATATATATTTTTAAAATTAATAATAAAATTGATGTATATTTAATTAAATTTTTATTTTTTATTTTTTTGAAATGCAAAATTATTATTTAAATTATTGTAATTATTCTCTTTTTGTTTTGAATTTTTGGAATTAAGATAAATTTTTATTTCCAAAATCAATCAGAACAACCGATTCTAAAGGATCCATTAAAAGCAACCAACCAAGAAGGCTAGCATATGTTTAATGTAATAGCATTTACATGACTATTAAGTCTTTTATTTCTATTCAAAATACTTCTAATGACAATATTGTGTATAATACTATCTTTTAGCCTAAAGTCTATAGGTTTTTGGGAGAATATTTTGTCGTTTTTAGCTCTCCAAATATCATACACCCTCTAATAATTATTATAAGCAAAAATAATTTTTTTTTGGTTTATTTGACTATTAATGTATTTAGTTAATATATGGACTAAACACATTAATAATCAAATGTACTAAAAAAAATTAATTTTGCTTATAATAGTGTCCGAAGCGTATATGTGTTTTCTGCAATTGCTACTTTTAATATATCTCTTCTCCAACTTTTTTTCATGCTTTCTAGAATGATCCACTTTGTTTCTTTTGCCTAAGAGCATCTTTAATGTATGTTCTGTAGTATTAAATTCTTAATAGTAACGATAGTTATAAGCAATTTGCATTAGAATAAGAATGACATGACACTAAGTGAACTAACAATTAGTTTTCGGCAACTATATAACCAACGCACACTATCAAATTTCAATGACTCTAATTATTATTTTATATTATTAAAATATCAATAAAGCTCCAACAACACTCAAGTTTTGGTTTTTTACAAGCAAACATCATTAAAGTAAAAACAACTCAAATCAACTATAAATATTTTAAATCCTACAAATCACTTTGGGCCCACAAAAAGTATCTTAGTTTACCCATTTAGTTTACTCCCACTAAATATGTTCTAACCGTTAGAATTTCTTCTCCAACCAAATCAATCAAGAATGCTATGCCAAATATTATTTGTAACATTGCACTCAAATAACAAGTGTTCCATATTTTCCATATGGTTGCAAAAACTACAAGACCATCATCAGTTACAATTCCAAACTTAGCTAATCTATTTTAGTTGCTAGCCTGTTTTAGAGAGTAAGTCATTAGCCCTATAGAATTTTGTGTTGCAAACTTTATTCCGAGCAACATGAACCTTCTTGCTAGTTTTCTTAGTCCCACTCCAAAGAAAATTTCAGCGCATAGCTTCTATTATATGGATGACTTTCTTAGGGATATGGAAGATTTGCATCGAATACATAGTGATTGAAAAATCACACTGTTTATCATGTTTTTCCTACTTGCATAACTTAACAGATAATAGATAAATGGTGAATCCTCGCAGTGATTTTATCAATCAAAGGACTGTATTGGTAGACATTCAACTTTCGGCTTGAGAGAAGGCTCCCTAAGTATTTGAATGGTAAGTTGCCCTTGGAGAACTTAGTGGTCTTTATGATTTTCTGCTGAACCCGCTCATTAACTCCACCAAAATAAACTTGACATTTTGAGGGATTAGACTTCATGCCTGTAGTATCAGAAAAATCCTTGAAGGCTGCCACAACAAAGCAGATATAAGTTATGTTCAGTTTCTCACGCTTGGGATGAAAGTTGTAGTTTGGGTTCTTCTTAAGTTTCTTAAGGCATTTATTCATATACTCCATTATAATCATAAACAACAACGAATACACTATATCTCCTTGCCTCAACCCTCTTTTTTTGTTTTGAGTAACTCACAATGCTGACCATTGATGTTATATCTATAAGAAACAGTTCTGACATAAACCATAATCCAGGTGATAAATTGAGCAGGAAAGGTTATTTCCCGCATAATGACTTATAGAGTATCCCGCTAAACTATATAATAAGCTTTTTGAATATCAATTTGAATAGCACACCTGGGAGAAATATGCTTCCTATTGCAGCCTTTCAAGAGTTCATGAGCTATCATGATGTTGTCATGAATGATCTTGCCAGACACAAAAGCAGATTGATTTTCATCCACAATAACACTTATGATTTTGTTCAATCTCATAGTGAACATCTTGGGAATAATTTTGTAGATAGTTGTGCAACATGCTATAGGCCTTATCTTTTTTATGGTCTTTGCCTTTGAAGTTTTTGGAATCAAAGTAACACTAGCACAATTAACAACAACATATATTCTATTCTGTTGGAAGAAATCATAGATTGCTTCCCTCACCTCATCTTTGATCAAACTCCATGTTTCCTTGAATTTTTGTGTGTGTATTAAATCCATAAATTCCTAGAGCTTTTGTGTCCCTTATCCTATGCCTTTGAGAGCTATCAAAATTTCTTGATATGAAAAAGGTTGGATTAACAAATATTGATGTGTTTCTAGCAGTTGGGGCCCCTTTCTAATTTCCACAATATCAACGTGCCTTTTCTGGTGTATGCTAGTTGCCACTAAATTTTTGTAGAATCTGATGACTTCCCCTTCAATCTCTTGAAATTTAGTCAGCTTTCTACCCTGAAGATCTTCCAAATTGTGCAATCCCGCTTTTTTTATTTTTCTCTCTAATAGTAGCATGAAAATAGGCATTATTTCCATCACACACCTTAAGCCAATTGATCTTGGACTTTTGCATAAGAGCTTTCTCTTCAATGTTTATTCATTTCATGAGCTCATATGACCTAAGTTTGATACCATGGATATAATCCTGGTTTAATAAATCAGTTTACAAAAGGGTTTGGGTTTGCTCCAATTCGCCTTTGATCTCAATTATTCTCTTCATGTTATCCGTCTTTTCATTGTTTAACTTTCTCATAATAGGCTGCAGGCGCTTCAGTTTTTTCCAAACTTTAAACATAGGATGACCTTGCTGTTAGTGCGTGAGGCACTTTTAGTGAGGAGAGAAATAGAAAGAATAAGGAAATAAGAGTTAATATTATTGAATGAATAAAACTGAATTACAAATTGTGTGTTTATATACACCTAAGTGACTTGACTACTAAGTAAAATAACAAACCATAAACCCTAACTAGATTTGGGCTTGGGCCACATAACTCAACTTGAATTATATCTAATATCTCAACATACCCCCTATAATCCAAGTTGTCGAAACACACTAATCATCGTCGATCTCAACTATTTCCAATTTCTTTCTCAATGTTAGAAATCTGTCGATATTCAATCCTTTGGTGAAAATGTCGACCAATTGTGCTTTACTTAAGCAATGGATTACTTCAAGTTCACCTCGATTCACCTTCTCCCTTAAGAAGTGAAATCTAGCTTCAATGTGCTTACTTCTTCCATGAAAAGCTGGATTCTTTGCCAGATTTATGGTTGACTTGTTGTTGATCTGCAGTACCAAAGGCTTCTTCACTTCGACCTTCCTTTCTTCAAGCACAAATCTGATCCGAATTGCTTGACATACAACATAAGATCTTGCTATATATTCAGCCTCACACAATGACAATGCCACTAAAGGTTGCTTTCTCAAGCACCATGAGATTGAGGCACCAAATACTTGAAAGAAATATCTAGTAGTGCTTCTTCTATCTTCCTTATCTCCATACCAATCAACATTTGAATAACAAGTAACCATAACTTCTTTACTTTCATAGTCTTGTCGAAACAAAATTCCATAATTTGTCAATCCTTTTAAATATTTCAGGATTCTTTTTATAGCCTTCATGTGTGACACCCTTTGTTCACTCATATATCTGCTCACTAATCCCATTGAGAAAATATATCAGGTCGACTGTTGCACACATATCTAAGAGATCCGACAATTTGTTTGAACAAAAACGCATCGACTTTGTTTTCCTCTCCATGCTTCTCCAACTTCAAATTTGGTTCGATAGGTGAAGATGTAGAAGTCGAATCATCCATTCTGAATCTCTTGAGTATCTCTTTGACATACTTAGCACCATAACTTTCTTCGACATTTGAAATTCCATGTCTAGGAAGTACGACAACTTTCCCAAATCCGATATTTCAAATTCCTTTTTTATCAGCTCTTTGAACTTCGAAAAGTTCTCCAAGCTACTAACAAGTCATCAACATATAAGCAGATGATTGTTATATCTTGTGCCACAAAATGAACATAGACACCATACTCAAATTTGCATTTGACGAATCCAAATTTGACCAAGTATGAGTCGATCTTCTTGTTCCATGCCCTAGATGTATGCTTGAGACCGTATAGCGCTTTGTGCAACTTGTATACTTTACTTGCTTTCTACTGAATAAAAAACTTAGGAGGTTGTGTGACATACACCTCTTCATCTAAAGGTCCATTCAAAAATGCCGATTTCACATCTAAGTGAAATGTCGACCAACCTTGATTGCATGTCAAGGCTACCACTAATCGAACAATTTCCAATCTTGCGACTGGTGAAAATAAGGAGACCAAATGTTGATTTTTTAAAGAAAAAAATAGAAAATTAAAAATAAATTTAAACCTTAAAAAAATTATTTGAACAAAAACTTTTAGTTTTCTCTTTCAAAACATATATTTAAAAAAAAAATCATTTTCTTTTAAAACAGTATGAGAATATTTTAAATAAAATATTTTTAAAAATATATACTCAGTCTTTTTTCTTTTATAAGCAAATTTTACTTTTCAGATTTATTGAATAAATGACGTGTTTAGATTATATATAAACTAAATATATCAATTATTTAATAAATAT